CTACATTTATGTAAAAAGGGCATTTCATTTAATCTACCAAGGCTTTAGCCAAAGTTTAACATCACAACAGAAAAGTTAGCACAAAAATAAGTTCTGAAATTAACTGTAAGCTGATCAGTGCCTGAAGAATGACCAATATTCTAGGCAGCAAAAAACAAATAGGACCAGAATAGTGAAAAGTGGAAGCAGATTTACTTCTTGCTGAGCTATTGAGTGGAATATGGCACACTTTCTTTATGCTTCTAGAAGCAAGAAAGCTTTCCTGTCCCTATGGCTCCTGTACAGATAGATCAGAAGGCCACTTAGTTTGTAAGATGTCCAACCCAAAAATAATACAGGCCATAGAAGTCAATGCTCCGTTCTGAAATGTATTGATTCCATAATTCCAAAGCTTACTGAAGCTTGCTTTGCATGATCACTGCAGCTTAAACAAACTGTGGTGGCTTTAACAAGTCGTTATTTGCCCAAGATCCATCCAAGCATGGCTTTTTGTGTTGTCTGAACCTGAGTATCATAACTTATTGTGGGAGGAAACCCTCAAATAATCCAAAAAAGGGACAGTAGGTTATTTGAAGGCTGTTTCCCCCTGATGCCTGGATTTGGACAACATGACAGGCCATGCCAAGGTGGGAAGTAGGCAAATTATGTTTGACATGCTTTCCATCTTTAAAAAGCAACTGTGGCTTTGTGAACTGGGTCTCAAAGCAGCTCTTATTAAAAGACAATGAAAACTTCAGAATTCCAATAGTTTCCCAGTTAATTTGTTCTTTGAGAGACCAGTGCACAAATATCCATTTTGGAAAGTTTGTTAGAGCTCAGTACAATGCACATATACTCAAAGGTTAGTTCCACAGAGTTCACTGAATTTACACCCATGTTTATGAAGACATACCTCAAACCAGAAATTGAACCACATGGGCCCACAGGCTGCATGGAGCCCCTGATGCCCTCAGTGAAGTTCCAGATCCCTCCTCCCCCAGTTGCCCTTCAATATGCCTATTTCATTCCACTTTTACTAGGAAAAGGGGTTTTTTAAATTGCCATTTACTGCTGATATCTGGCAATGAACTGCTAAGCAGACTTAAAACAGAGAATCTGAAAGCAAATTTGACCATTTTAAGCCCTCGTAACTGCTTCAGAGGCAAGTTATGGAAAAGCTTAGCTTGTTTCAGTTGCTTATTTTAGGACTGATTCCCAAACTGCCTGAAGTAGACCATCCTGCCTTATAAAGACTTCCATAGATATGGTAGGCTAGAAATGCTTATGTAATTAAAAATAAGTGCATCATTATTGGTTTGAAACAGTACTGAGATACCAAAAGTGTCAAGTCACACGCACTGACTGTCCTGAATTCTACTGTTCTGCGACCCACTCACTGAATAAAAGATCTACACAGAATTTTTAAAGGATAAAACCCTTTACCCTATCTATGTTGAGACAGAAAGAAATCCTATAATTCCAAAGCATTCTCTAGCCATCTTAAGAGACTGATCCAAATAATTACATACACATCACTAGCAAATATAAGAAACATATAAAAAGCATTTTATTAAAAAATCCAATTTAAATAAAAGATCCAATTTAAATAAAAATCCAATTTAAATTGTAATAATCTGATTTTTTAAAAAAATATTGATTTTTTATCCACTTAGCTTAAACCCTATTTAAGTATTGGGCTTTAAATAGGGTGCAGGAAATGTGCTAGAGGCACAAAGACACTGATCCCATTCTGTAAGTCTCTTCCCAAACTCTCCTCCACCCCCACTCCACGTTAAAGAATAGGAATGATAGGAGGGCTTCTATTTGCATTTACTTGAACATGCATAGAAGTCACTGTGCAATCAGGAATGTTGTTTTAACAGACTTTCTAGCTGAGCAGAAGCATCTTAGATTCATATTATAGGAGAGCTGAAAGAGGCCTAGAAGGCCACTGGGTCCAACCCCCTGCTGGTGCAGGACACCAAGTCATGCCAAGTCTGCTCTCATTCAGATGAATGCAAGTGAAAGCCACTTCCGACCTTTCAGTGCAAGGGGAGGGCAAGCCTGGCATGTGTGGTCACACGCTCCTTACAGAGTTATTTTAGAACTGAAATGGGGTCTTGTTGTGGAAACATTGAGTTTATGTTGATTAAAACTTCACTGGCATCCACATTAGCAGTGGGTTTTATCCCGAAACTCAGTATCATTGAGGATATGACTCCAAGCATTTTATGGATATTCATTAAGGGCTTAATAGAATATAAAATGCAAATACTGATTTTAATGTATATTTTATGTTCAGAAGACTGCTTTTAATATAACTATTTCACATTCTGTTTTTGTGTCTGTACATATACTGGCTACCTGACAAGACACTTGCAAAAGAAAAATTCAGAGCAAAGGGTGATTTCCCATAGCCCTCACTGTATAATTTCCAACTTCTCCGATTTGTATGCAGGGTCACTACATGTCTGTTCAAAGGTCTTGTTGTTGCAAGCCACCACTCTTCACGGAATGAGATGGCTGCTCTGGGGGAAATCTGGGGGAAGGTTCTTGTTCTCCTTTTCTCCTGTTAGCTGCTGTTTTAAAGTGTTTCTTGCTCTGAGCCCTCAGTAGACTACAAAAATAAACTCTTCTATTTGTGCCACAGCAGATCAAAACATCCCGTTTTGGGGATGTATATTGCTCTGGAAGGGGCTAAAGAGACCTTGTTTCATCTCTGTAAAGCCTTTCCCAACCCAGTACCCTCAAGATATCAAGGAATTGCTAAGGAATGCTGGGAGTTCTAGTCTAAAACTGCCAGGAAGGCACCAGGCTGAAGAAGATAATTCTAAGGAATATCGCATATCTACGGACACTTTCTTTTAAGGAAAGACTATCAAGCCCTCTTAGTGTCCACTGGAGTGAGTCCAAAGCCAACAGCAAAAAATAATAAAATAACATTAACATAGCATAACAAAACAAAATGAACTCAGCACAAGAAGGTATTCATCCCTTAAGCATTTACAAGGAAACCAGAAACTAGTTACATGTTCTAAAACACTTAGGACATTGCAGACAAGTGTTCCAGAATTTCCAACATAACAAGACAGAGGGATTTTTTTTTAGAAACAAAAGCATAGTATTATTACTAGATGTTTATCCAAGATATGTTTTGATTTAGGACTAAATGCTACAGCTCAGCTACAATCCAATCTAAAAAAAGAAAAAAGTGTCCAGCAACTTATTCAAGAGATACTCTCCAATTTAAACAGGAAGCATTATAATTTAATTATAATTTAAGTCAACTAAGTCCTAAGACTGCAATGAGAAAATCAGCATATTAAATAATTTACTTCTCAAATGCAGATATTAGGGAAACCTAGCCTGGAAGGAATAGATTGCATTAAGCATAGTGTTTATTATGTTGAGAAATGCAACAACTTTCAGATACGTATAAATGAAAAGTAAGTTCTGTATATTTCAAGGCAAAAAGCCGGGAATATTCCATTGCTTCCATTGCATCATATGTACAAATGGTCTTCCTAAAACCAACCCCCTCCCAGGGAAAGCTAACTGCACTGGTCCATAAGGGGAAAAACATCCAAAATCCGGGCAATACCTTTCTTAGGACCAACGAAAGTGTGCCCAAGCTTTCGAGTTCTCCAGAACTCTTCATCAACCTAAGTGGTACAAAAAGCAGGGATCAGGGAAGGAACAAAGTCAAAAATTTAGGCCTGATTTTATCACTTTGAGGTTTGCAGTTTGGAAGATGGAAATTGCAGACTGAATGAAATAGTTACAAGTAGGTACTACAGGTACCAAACAAAATGTTTCCAAGGCCAGAATGCACATTACTATCTCTAGAAGAATAAATGAGCCCTTTATTACTGCAACATACTTGAACTCCTTCTATTCTTTTCACTAAGACTTATTAAACAAAATATTCTTATATTCAAAATATGTTTATTATATACCAAAAGTGAGCAAGCAAGATTTGACCTAGTCTTTAAACTACAACGGTACGTGTACACATAGCATGACAAATATTTTTCTATAGTCAGCTACAGTTAGCCATTACAGACATGCCTGCGCAAGGCACTTCTTTCCGACAATTGTGCTGGAGTGTTTGCCAGATGACGACAAGCTTCCCGCATCACGTCTTCCTTCTCCTATCACCATATATATGCAGCACACTACCAGGAAGCATGCTGACGAAGCTTGGATTCTCCAAGCTTTGAACTGCCTGTTAAAGTTACTCCTTCCCTTCCATAGCAGCTAGTCTTTCTTTCCTGCTGACATATCACTTTTCACAGAGTAATCATTGCCCTAAAAGGTTTCCATTGTACAGGTTTTCTAGAGAATGCAAGTTGGAATACTAAAATGCCTCTAACTTTTATCTATATGAAAGAAGTGACAACCAACTATTCAACAACTCTTACAGAATACCAACTAATTCACTTAAAATCTGTAGATCCTCAAACAGTGCATTTGCATTCAGTTTTACCAAGCTCATTGAATTCATCCAATGTGTTATAGACAAAGGTATACTAAAATGTAGAACTATACAAAGCCAAGAATTATCCAGTCTTCAAGAATTATCCAGTCTTTCTTCTATAGGTCAGTAGATTTATTAGTCTCGTGGCTTTTAGAGCAGGCATCCCCTAAATGGGGTAGAATAACTATTACTAATTTATCGCAGTATTAAATGAGAGTATTTATAACACACAGTTTGTAGCTATGATGTACAATTTCATTCACATTTAAGGCCAAGGGTAAAGTATGACAAGCATTTATATTGGAAGAATAAAAAATAAAGTACTGAATGTCTATCAGAATGCTTGAGCAAGTGAAGAAGGAGCAGTAAGTCATCATTTCATGGATAATTCTGTAGCAAACTGAAGACAACTAAGACAAATCTTTCACCTATTGAATTATGCTATTAATTTCTCTGATTTTGTGGTCCTGTCCTCTTAAAAGTGACGGTAGCAAAGCCATGTAGGTAACACACACATTTGCAAATATATAAGAGGAATACATACAATGAAGGTACCTACCAGGACTTTCCACTCGCTTGTAATGGTAGGGATTGATGCAAACTTCTTTTTGCTTTGAACCAAAAGGAAACTCACAACATTCCAACGGTTTCAGTTCATGATGACTCTGCAGATCTGGCCAGCGCCACACACGGCAATAAATTACATGGGGTAGTCCCTTCCGATGTGAGACCTGAAGTCTGCCATCTAAGGAACGAGGAATTGTGACACAGTTGCTGGGCTGACCTGGGCAGCTTAACGCTTTCTCTAACTCTTCCATTGCTCCTTTTTTCTTCTTCAGTTTTTTAACCAGGGCATCAACAGCCTTCTCTGCCCATTTTTCTTCTTCATCCCCTTGCTTCCATCCCAGCAGTCTTTTAACAGCAGGGCTTGTGAAGGAGAATAAACTCGTCACGTTCATGGCGACTAGTCAGAAAAGGTACAGGTGCGCAAATTCTAAAGTGGCAAATCCTATAATGGCTTGTAGCAACAGTCTTCACAAAGATTGTACTATCCCTTTAAGCTTTCCAGTCCAGAGGTCTTGAAAGGTGAAGCTAACATTCCAGCGTGAATGATGCTTGCTTTCCTTTTTTGGTTCCAAATCAAAGTCAAGCACCTACAGAAGGTAACACTGGGAAACAGGAAAAGACAATTTCTTTTTAATACATACAATTTTAAAAGCTCAAATGTTATATCACTCTATTATAGTATTGGCTGTTCTTGGTTTATTATACAGGGATGGGCAACAAGGTACCTTCCAGATGTTATGGACTACAACCCCAGTCAGCATGGCCAATACATAAGAATTATACAGGTAATCCCAAAACAAATGTAGGGTTCCAGATTGTTTACCTGTACTGTAGAAAAGAAAAACTGAGGAATGTTTCTCAGGTGTTTGCATAAGAAGGACTGCTTCAATTGGGTTATGAAACTATTTCCTATTAAGTTACTGTCTCCTGCCCCTTCCAAAAAAACCTTCAAAAATTTAGTCAAGATAGCATCGAGGGGAGAGATCAGATCCTACCCAGAAATTATGGGAGCTGCAGCCCAATGCAACTGGAGGGCATCAGGCTAGAGGAAGGAGGTATTCTCAGGCACACTTAATTTAGATTATGCTTCAGCTGACAGCGTTCCTACATATTACCCTTTCTTTTTTATATTTAAGTGACAAGTTGATGGAACATGGGAATGGACACACCTGAGAGGCAGAAAAACTGCTCTGCATACAAGAGGTGCCAGGTTCAATACCAACATTTCTAAACTAGGGCTAAAACCCTTGAGAGCTGCTGCTGGTCAGGCAGCTCATAATATACTGGATGATCTAATGCAGTTTAAGAAATCTTTCTAGTATAGCAAAAAGGTAGACCATGCAAGATTAGTCAAGCTACTCATACTGTACACTTCAAGGAAATTAAAGAGCACAGGCTAAAACATAGTATTTGAAATGGAGCATAATGCTAAAGATTCCTTTCTTTCTGAGAGAGTTATATAATTTTAAAAGAGATTATATTCCAGGAACCACTGAGAGACAGATTCCATGTTCTAGTGCAGTCTCCCCCAACATTCTGCAACAATTTTAACACTTCAGATCCAACACTGTTAGGCTCTGGAACAATTTTAATCTACATTTGTACTCCCATATCTCGACGCACCAATATTTTGGGAACTTACAAAAGATGCCAGATGGGTTTAGCTGTCAGAATGGATTCTGTAAAGGGTTTGCTTTATTTGTTCAAACACCTCAATCCAATTTGAGGAGACAAATTACACCCACACTTCAAGAAGAAAACCAACATATATATCAAAGATATTTCTGAATTATAGCAATCTTAAGAATCACAGAAACCTATGTATTTGATACTTAGCATCATATATAATGAAGTTATAAACTATTTTATCATTATTGCATTGTCTTTCTATCATGCCTTATTTCCTCATGTGAGGAATCCAAGGTGACTTACATAGTTATCCTCCTCTACAGTTTAGCCTCACAACAACCCTGTAAAATAGGTCAGGATGAGAGTCAGGGATTGGCCTCAAGTCACCCAGTGAATTTCATGTCCATGTGGGCACTAAAACCTAGATCTTGAGCCCCAGTCTAACAGTCTAGCCTGTACACCACACTGGCTCTCATATTGGGAACAAGTGACTGAAAGCAATCTGTTTCCAGAAGATGCCATCCTCAGTATCACTAAAAAATCATCCATTGTACTCATCTCAATGATCCTGACTACTCCTATTTTTGGGGTTCCAGCTATCTAAGCTCTGCCATTTGTTCAAATTATAAATACTCCTAATGGTCTCTAAATAGAGAAAGAGCTGCTTTTTATTGTTAGCTATTTTGTATATCTCAGATGCAAATGGGCAAGGTAGAGAAGGAGCAGAAAGAAGACAAAAGTAGAAATAGCCATGTTGTTCATGTGTTTCTGCATAATCAGTAAAGTTACCCATTACTCAGTGTCATTTATCTGACTGTCTACCTGTCTTAATTATGAATTCAGGTATCTGTGTGTGCACCTTGTGTTATGTATCTAAGTTCTGTTGCTTTAAAATCCAAGAAGATAAAAGATGGAAGATGTCTGGCAGGTATTATGAAATAAGCATGCCAATATTGTCAGCCAAGTTTCCAGTTTCCATGAATCTTAAAATGCCTTCTTCCTCCTAAGTTCCATTTCTCTTTCTGCCACACATCATTTCCTGTATTGCTTTGAACCCAGAGTAGTATCAGTTAAGAAATAGAAACAACATTTAAGTTTTCATATGACACCAAGTCCCTTCTTACCAAATAAATATACCTTTCTGGGGAAGATGATTCATGTTTCTAGACATCCAACAGTTCATAGATAGCTCCTAATTTACCTTGACCCTAACTGTATCATAATCTTGGTTTGAACCAGTTTGTATCCACTGTTTTTGCATCAAGGGTGACAAAATTTTATTAATACATTACCTTAAATTTCAGAGACTTGAACAAATGGAACCTGATTGGTGTCCCATTTTGCCTTGTTAGTTCATTTAAATCCTTTGGATTGCATGCAAATATTTAGTTTAAGCACAATTTTAGCAGAAAATGAATGACCAGCGACCAGTTCCTCTCAAATTTACTTCTGTCCAGACACCAAAGCAAACCATTACATTTTAAAGGAATGTATATTCAAGATAAAATACATTTAGCAATGGACATAGTTAGAATATATGTTCTCAATATACGTAAATGTGCATTTATGCAATTTTATTTAGATTTTAAAGATATATAACTATAGAAACAGATGGAACAGGCCAAAAAAAGTGTGACATTCACATGGATCAGAAAGTGACTGATCCAACCATCCCTACTTCCAGGTGCCACTACCATCCTGTGTCCCTTCTTGGTTATGTCATTTCCATTAAGAGTACAGGGTGGCACAGAAATGAATGAATGAATGAATGAATGAATGAATGAACGAACGAACGAACGAACGAATACTATCTCACTTTACAGAATCCTTTCTCCAGAAAGGCTTGTAAGGTACCTCTCACCATGAATAAAATAATTCTCCAAGACTAATGTATGTATCATCATTTACCATGCAGGTTCAAACAACCAGAACAGAACCAGAAGTAAATATACACCCAAATTATAATTATTACTACCACAACTACCACCATTCCTTTTCTAAACTGCCCTACTGTTGAATATGAAACTGCAGGCATCCAAGAGTGGTATCCAACAGGACATTACACAAGAGCCCTTCCCATCAATGCCACTGCTCAAACACGACCTACTTTTTGCACACAGAGATTAAAAGTTTCCTACAACAAGTCCTCACATATGGGAATATACTCATTTCTGGATGAGAAGAGGTTGGCAAACTCCCTTAGCTGAGCTCCTCTGACCTGCTCCATTTCAGAAGCAAAAAGTTCTGCTAGTTTCTGGTTGCTCCTAGAAGTGCTATATTTCTGTTACGCAAGCAGTGGATTTCACTTGGAGAACAGAATTGGTATCCATGTGCTTTTCACCTAGAATCCATTTTTCTAGGTATGGAGAAATGCGGACTAAGCAAAATTTTGCACTAAACCAAATTATTTTCCAGTGTATTTCCATCGACTTATCAACTATGGAAGATTCTGAGTTGAAGGAATTCCTTGATGGATAAGCCTTCCTTTCCAACCAGAGGGGTGACTCCTTTTTAAAGCCAGTCTAATATGCTTTACATAGCACTTTATTCTATATAGGAGCACACATCATCATGGTTGGAAACAAAAATAAACATCAAACATATGTTATTCAGTATTTAAGCTATGACTGAGAGGAATTTGTGAGCAAAAGGAGAAAATGTAGGATCCTGCCCATATGGCATCTTATTCCATCCCTTCAGTCCTTTCATAATTTGCTTTGTACAACTCATGTTTTCTGTACCATGAAACTGCAAGAGTAAAACTTCGATTTTCAGTCTCTTCTATAGTTCAGAAGCTGAGCCAACTGTGTCCCCTATGGACTATATATTATGAGGCATGTACTTGATTCAGCTTATGGTTCTTTGGAAGAGCTTTAAAAAAAAGATGTGAAGCATTGTTGTAAGAGCAGGAGCAGCAGGACATCAGTGGTCCCAGAGACATACACACAGGCATTAAGTGCCACCAGGAGAGCAGCAGAAAATTAGCAGTCCAAGAGACATGTGCATAGACACAGACATTAAGATGCTGCCACAGGTCAGTCACATGATTTGCTAAAAGAAATGCAATGCACATACCAATATTAACATGCACAATATAATGGGTGGAGCTGCCTCCACCACCAAGTACCTCACATCACCCCAGTTCAATCTCTCATTCCACTTTCTGGAAGACTGTAGGAAGAAAGAGAACTAGATGAATGACATTTCTGTTGACAGCCAAACCTTTTCCACTGTACAGGCAGCAGTAGTGGGCTATGCTGATGGGAGATGCAGTCCAACAATCTTTGCAGGGCCACTAGCTTCCCTTCCTTTACATAGAGCATTCTTTTAACATATGCAGGAATCATAAATGAATAAGCACTGGGGTCTTTTTGGAGGTGGAGGGGTTGGAAGTACGAATTATATCTGGCTTAGATGCAATGGTTCATGTGTACCTGGAATAGTAAATGAAGCCTAGATATGAACAGACAGAATAGTGACAGTGAGCCAGAACACAGATTGTATCTGCATCAATTTCATGAAGTGCTGGTTCCTCATTTATAGATTTCATAACCTCCTTTCAATACAGGTATCCTTTTCATAACCTCCTTTCAATACAAGGATGGAAATACTGTTCACTCTTTGAAGAAAATATGCCTTTGCCCATGGAAACCACAAACTGGCTCTTACACACAAGAACTAGCAACACACTGCTTGAGGTATTATTGGTACATACACCTCTAACAGTTACAAGAATATATACAATCTTCAGTAGAAAGAAAATAAGAGACCCTAAATCTATTTCAAGAACATGGAGCTATAACAGTCCACTACTTTTGCCTTCCACAGATTGATTGTAATAGTCACAGTTGAGAGTGGCAAACACTTAAAAAAACAGCTGTTGTACATAGACTGTGTGGGTATGTTAAGATACACAAAAATGAAACTGCAGACATTTCTGCCTATATTTAGATCTGCCTAATCAGCTGTAATT